ACACTCCCTTCCCCCTCCTGTCGGGCACGTCCTGGGCTGGGAGCGGGCTGTGTCCTGTTGGAAGTGCGCAGGGGCCACCTCTGCGCTTTCCCGGGCGGCTTTACCCTGGCGGTGTGGCCACCCCAAGGAGACCTGCCTCCGGGCGTCTCCGCGGGGCACGGGCGGGGCGCCTGGAGGCCGAGCGCCGCCGGCGCTTCTCCTGGGGAAGTGGCCCGGGACCCGTCCCAACGGAGGGGGCCTGAGGGGGCAGCGGGAAGGCCCTGCGGACCTGTCCAGGGGCAGAGGGGACCGTCCTCAAAGTAAAGCGGCGGGTAGGGTAGGCGTAGCTAACAGCACAGGCTGTCACACTTGAAAAAAAATTCTACCAGTTCTTAGTACCACTGCACCCACTAACGCAAGTTAACTGCGAGTTGCACTCGAGAGGGCAGGAACTAGTGTTAGAAACACGGGAAGAGGGCGGGAGCAGGGGTAGGGCTGGGGAAGTGTGATTGTGAGTCTTGTGAGTGTGAGTCTACTCCACTCCCGTCCCAGATGCTTTCTGTAGCTTTTAAGAACTCTCTACTCGAATTTGAAATTTTCAGTAACCAGCAGTCGGGATAGTAGCCTTTTTTTGTTTTTGATTTGTTTTTATCTTCGTGTCAAAAATGGTTGCAAATCTAGTGAATATTGGATATGACTTACTGTAATCCTTTAATGCAATAACACAATTAGCGTTTGGTTGCACCACTAGTTTTGTAATACAACAGGAGTCAAATGAATTCAGAATGAGAACGGATCGGTTTTTATTTTAACCAGCTATACTTAGTATCAAGAAAGACTATTTAGTATTGAAAATTCGTTGTAATATAGTCAGTAATATTGTATTAACTTTGGTGGCAGATGCTAACTAGATTTATTGTGCAGACCATTTCATAATGTGTATACATCAAATCACTATGTTGTACACTTGAAACTGATATAATATTGAATGTGGTTTGTACTTCAATTAAAAATACATTTAAGGAAAGTAAGTTCTGAACACTAGCAGTCTAGTTTCAATGCAATGCATTGCCTGAGTTTTATGGGTAATAACTGTCTGGGGTTACGTAGACTTACATTTAGTGAAAGTAATTTTTATCTAGTCATTCTTCCCAAGACTTCATTTTGTATCCTGGGAAAAGTAATACTAACAATACCCAAAGAGACCATTGGAATCAATTTGCTTCTCTTTGCTGAGACTCTTGAGAAACGCTTGAAATTAATAAATGATTTTTGAATCGTTTTGCAAATTCTAGCCTAGTGTTCTTAGTGTTAATATTCTAATGGAGGACTGGGAAGGGTGGGTCCGGGTATTATGAGCTGAAGCTTATGCAGTTGTGCGTGTGTTAGGTGGAGGGAGGGTGAGGGCTCTATGAAAAAGAACACGTGAGCCCATTTTTGGGGCTTCCTGCCAGAGCACACTGGGTCCAGAAGCTTGAGCTTTATCAGGTTCATGGTAAATCCCCGTAGGAGGTCTGTCTGTATTTTCTGGAGCTAACCTAAAAGCATACACACAGGATTTTTTTTTAATTGTATAAACCCATCAAAGTATAGGTGAGCTTTTGGATAGCATACGAAGATAATTCCAGTTAGCAAGTCTGGACTAAAGTAGCATCATCTTTTTTATGGCTATGAACTTTTCATATTGAAATGATCTTTTTATGTTCTGCAGTGTCGATGCTATCACTCTTTAACACAAAGTGTTTTTAGGACAGTTTGTCTTTATACATAATTAAAATTTTTCTACTCCCCCTTTCTAACATTTTATGAAGATTTATGATCTTTGTCAACAAGCATGTGTATTCTAGCAGCACAATGATGGATTTAGAAACTCTTATTTTACTGCCAAAATATTCAGAATATATGTATATATGATTTATTTGAAACCCACAGGTGTTTTCCATTACATATATGTGTTTTCGGATTACCTACTATTTGCAACACATTCAGACAGATATTATAGGAGAATAAAAAGATGTAGAAGATGGGCTACGTCCTCAAGGGGCTTACAGTCTAGTGGAAGATGAGACATCAACAAGCATTATATCAAGCCCCCTTCTCCCTACCCACCCCACTTTTGCCTAAGGACAATAACCTTTAGTCATTCTGTGTGTTTTATCTAAAGGAGTCCAGCCATTATTCTAGAAAGGAAACAGGAAATACCCAAAGTTACAGGTCTGTCTTGTGGATAGCCTTTCAAGTAATGGGATGAAACATTTTCATTAAGCTTTCAACTTTAGTTTTATAAATGTATATGTTTCCATTTGGCGAAATAAAGTAAGATCACAAATACTGAGTTGATCATATCTTCCTTAAACCACTAAAAAAATTCACTCATTTATTCAACAAATATGTCTTGAATGCTCCTCTTACTGGGCATCGATCCTAGTGTTGAGATTTATTAGCAAACAGAACAAACTCCCTGCCATTGTGGTGCTACTGTTGTAGTATCAGGAAACAGAGTGGATAATAAAGTAAATACATAACAAGTTAGATGATGATGAACGCTACAAAGGAAAGCAAAGCAGGCTAAAAGAGTTGAGAATAATGGGGAGTTAGTTTATGTAAGATGGTCAGGGATGGCCTCTTTGATGAGACGACATTTGAACAGAAACCTGCAGTGAGAGATCAAGACTTGGTACTTGGGATTCTTGGGATAAGAATGTTACAGGCAGATGGAAGAGCAGGTGCAAAGGCCCTGCTCCTTGGGAAGAGTGCTTAGCATATTCCAAAGTCAGAAAGGAGCCCAGTGTGGATGAATCAGAGAGATAGAGAAATAGTGATCCCTTTAAGTAAACTAACATAGTCAATTCTCTACACAATAGTCCAGACATTTGTACACTCAAAAACAGACATTATACTTATAAATTGTCTTGGTATCAAGAGGTGAGTAAATAAAGAATCAGCTAATAGTGTCGGTCTTGTCCTTCCCCGAGTATCACCAGTTTAAATGGCTAGGGTCTAGTGTTCTCTTCCCAACAATGGATTAAATCTTGCACGCTTCTTAATTTAGAGGCGAAAAAAAATGCGCACATAATCGATGACCCTTGAGAATTAGAACTGAAGGAGAGGGAGCAAGTACCCATGGTGTTTGCTCTGACACTCCCACCTCTCTGAGCCTCTGAATTTAACTTGCCACCCTCCATGGCTATCTTTAGATTAGTCTCCAGCAAAATAAGGCTTGCTCTTCCTTTCTCTGGCCCTCATTCAATTTCTACAAACTTGTATTCATCAGAAAACAGACCAGTCCGCTGTTTTATGAAAGTGAGACACTGCAAACAGTGTGCTTTGCTTAGTTTTTCATCATCAATGAAGTAAACTAATTTATAGGCAAATTTAACCTACTGAAAAAGAAGACAAGACTATGAAAGTCTATGTTGATTAAATTAAAAGTTGAAGATAATTATGTATATACTTAGGAATCTTCATAGGAATTCGTTAAATTGCTGCAAAGCAAACTCATCTGATTACAAAAATGTCACCTGAGGCACTTGGTAAAACTACAAATCCCTGGGCTCCACCCTAGAGCTGTGGGATCAAGATTCTCTCTGGAGAGGGGTCGGGCATCTGCACCGGGTTAGTTAGTGAAATAACGCTTTAAGTGAGTACGTCACATAGTAAATTCAATTTATATGGAGCTTCCCAGGTGTATATCCAGCGTGTAAGTGAAATGAAACCTGTGGGCTTTATTCTACGTTCGTTATGCGGCCTCTGGATGAGCAGCTTTGGATATTATTTTAACTTGGGTTCAAGAATTCTTAGACCTTCTCCCAGTATCATTTCCTTTTATTCTTTTGCCCCTTCTAGAAGAATGAGGTCCTTTTAACAGGCCATATATTTCCAGAGCTGCTAAACACCTGATTTGGAGTGATGTCACCCACGTGGGCTTCTGTCAGGTCCAGAGCTAAAAGGTCAAGCTCAGATTTTCAGCCGGATTCCACTC